TATGAAACACAGTGGGGACATCAGAAGAACACACAGAAGCAGCCCTGGAGATGCCCCGCATCCTTAAGACCATCTAATCACTTCAGAAGCTCATTAAAACTATCTCCAAAGTTAGTCTTTACTTCCCACATAAAACCCCACTGGAACCTTCCTCCAGTTTCTACTGTGACTCTATTCATGGCAGTTTGCAGGTTCTCCTTTTGTTGAATATTAGCTTAAATTACTCTTTTCCCTCCTTGATTGCATTCTTCCAGTGGAAACCCACCTTCTGTGTTACTAAACCAAGCAAGTGTCACTAAGCCAGCCACAATTTTCTAGTCTCTTCTGGTATGATGAGCTTTTTATTTACCAGAATAACTATCTTTCATGCCTTCATTTTGTCAGTTGTTTACATGCAACAGGGGATGACTAAAAAGCAGTGGCAATGTATTTGGAAACTACAGTAGGATGAAGCAAGACATGTCCGACATTCTTGCACTCTGGAGGAACAGGAGTAGCCTTGGAGAAGCTACTCTACTTCAGTGGCTGAGTTTATTTCAGGAGCCTTCCAAGTACTAATCCTAATCGAAGGATCCAACTGATAGAAGGCATGACTGAGGAATGACGATGTCCATTATTCAAGGGGACATGTGGAAACTTAATAAATGCTTCAGGTGGGCAAGCTAAGTGGTACTGTCATCATCTGTGATTTATGATATATCAGTATAATATTCATAGAAGTTTCCCAACTACTTCCTTGCATTGTGTCTTTTCTTTTGCATGTGCACAAATGTCAAAATAGCTCTGAGAATTTCTGTGGTCTTCTACTGATATGGGTTTAGAATTTCAATCTGCTGGAGCAGGTTATGTCTAAATGCAATAAGAAGATGGCAGAACATGAACCACTACTGGATGGCAATGCCAGTTAGACACTCTGATGGCTTCCCATCCTCATAAAAATGCTCTGATGACAGTGCCTGTTCCAGACAGCACTGTCACAGTTTGGCTACACCTGTGAAGTTGTGCACTCTCCAGTAATCCAGAAGAAGTATAAATTCATGGTGTGGGATCCATCAGTGTGAACAATATCTAGTCCCTTGTATCACTCATGCCCAGTGTTTGGCAGTGTGTTTCTAACACCAGCAAAGAGTTTTTATTTGGTGAAAATGATGAACAAAAGAGCTAAGTGGTTGAAAACATTATGTACTGGAGAAAGGGGGGAAATCAGGGACTTGTGGAGCAGAGGAGAGAAGATACAGCTGCAGCTGTGGTAATATTTGGTAACAATGCTGGTGTGGTTTCAATGCACTTGATCAACATTGAAGGATTTTGAGTTGAACTATGCGAATGCATGTAAGTATTGTGTGCTTACTTCCATGCAGATTAAGCTGCCATGCCTGGCTGACTCTAGAAGAGGTACTACCCACCTGCAGACAGGATAGCTCTGTTCTAGATGGTTTAAAAATAAGAATATACCAGTATTCACAGTGAATTGCAGTCAGTAGGCCCACTAAACAGAAGGAAGAGAAATGAAGCAGGAAAGGGAAGCAAAAGGTGTTCATGAGGAAAATGGTTCATGGGAAAGGTAAGCAGAAGTAAATTTAGAGCACTAGATGTAAAAAGGAGTTTGGCAAGCCCAAAACTCAGAAGGAGGTCACCTCACTGAGTAGGATTTCAGATCTTGGTTATTCCCATCCTTGCCCCCTTAATTAATCTCATAGTTAAAGCCTAAAAACTGCCAGTGTTATTTTTTTACCGTTTAACTTGTGCATGATGGACAACTTGCTTTTGGAGAAACTGCAGGAAACAAATCTCTATTATAAATGTCATCTTCCATATTTTGAAAGGAAGCTGCAATGCTGTGGTCAAGGGATAGCAAGTAATGCATTTTAATAAAAAAAGGTGCCAAAAATATTTTCATCTAGTTCCTTCATATGGTACTGATGAATGTCATGAAATAATAAAAATCTTCTGGATTTGTGAATGGCATAAAAATTTAATGTCAAATGACATCAGGACTATGCTAGGCATTTTAAGGTTTCTAAATGCCACAAGATATTTTATCCTTTATTTACCATGAGAAATGATATTAGTCATTTGGAGAGCATATTCATTGGCAGGAAAATCACATTAACTCTTTGTTTCCCAGTATTTGACCCTTTTCCTGCTTTAAATATAAGAGATTTTCTCTTGCTCACAACTTGGTATAACCTTTCATGTTCCTGCAAAGGGATCAAAGAGTAAGACATAAACATTAACCGGACGACTGATTTTTTTGAAAGTTATTCAATGTTGCTCACTACTACAAAAGAAGAATTGCTCGACAGAGTTTAATGGCATTAATTTTGCAACAAATACAAGAGGCAATCTTACCTTCCCTTTATTTAAGACGTATGTGGTTTTCACATTTGTATTTGACTGTGCAAAGTGCATAACTCGGAGAAAATCAAAGCTGCTGTTTCTGCTTTGGAAATGGCATCAGCTCTTCTGTTTACAGAATAATATGCTAGCACATATGCTCTGCAAAGGCGGGATTCAACCATATAGTAAGACATTCATATCTGCCAGAGCCACTCTACAATCATTCCATTGTAAATGGAGAGAAGTACGTGGTTTATCCATGTTATTCAACTCATCCCGAGTCGAAGTCTGCTGACCTGCACCTCTGAGGAACCTATTTCTGGCTGCTGACTATAGAACAAGCTCAGAGATAGGTTTACATATGGAAAACTGTAAAGTCAGTTCACATGAATGCCATTCCAGGTTAGAAATTGGTTTCATAAATACAGGTATCTTAGTACCAGTACAGGCTGGTGCTCATGGACTTAGACCCCCAGAGTATCTGAGATGGCACTGGATGTTTATGTTTAAGAAACTAATGGAGCTCTCAGTGTCTACAGTGTAGATGCCTACCTGTGAGCTTAGTGCCTACATTTCTACTACACTCAACAGAAAATTTATCAATTCAGGCAATGACAACTAAAGAGCTGTTCGGGTTCCTACGTACAGCTCTGACTGCACTGACCAGATTACTGTTGATGTTAATGGGATCCCAGGCACCTACCTAATACAGACACACCTGCATTAGAAACAGCAATAATGAAGAGCACTGAATTCACTTTCTCCGACAGAGCAAGTCACTCTGTGCTTTATCATACTAAGCAAGGTAAGACAAATAAGAAATAGGTATTGCCATGGTGCTGTTCATCTGATCTCTTAAAATTGGCTCATTTATGATGAGATGAATCATGCCCTAGCCATCACTGACCCAACCAGCCAGCTATCAAGTGACTGAAACCCCTGGATGACAGTAAGATGCAGAAAAATACATTTAACCAGAGGAAATTCATCCAAAGCAGTGTGAAATTAACCTAGAATGCTGCTGGTCTTGCCAGCTACAAGGCTAGATGACATTTGTGAAGCTTTGCTCACAGAAGAGCACAAAAGCCAGCAGCCATATTACAACATGGGTATGCAGGAAAGGGTCATTGGTTGGCTTGTTTTTGCGGCTATTTCCTGGCCTGGAACATTAAGTGCACAGAGAACCCAAGTCATGTCCTAACTGTTCTCAGTGAAGTCTGGACTTCTCTCATGATACAAATCATTCACTTTCCTAAGCATAGGTTTTTTGAGATACCCTTAACTTATCTGAGAGACCAATGACACCTGAACAACAGGAGAACTGCACCTTTCTGCAAGGGAACGTGGAGACCATGATGTCCTGGGATATCTTGGAGAGTAGTACTTGCCTCTGAGTGGGCAAGTTTATTCAGTCTCATAAGCCCATCCTACCACACAGTTAAAGGCATTCCACTTTCATATATACAATACAAACGTATGTGTGTACATATATACATATATAAAATAATCAAATATCTGCAATACTTGCCTCATTGCTCTGCTCTGGTAGGATAAAGTATAAAAAAAAAACTTAGTTTCTTTTTCTTCCTGTTTATCTAACTCTGTCAGGTCTCTAAAACCCAGTGAGCAAATGTGCTGAGCACACAAAGCATCAACAGCTGGCAATTATTCCACATGGCTCAACCAATGCTCAGAGTCTCATCCTGCAAGATGTGATATTACAGCAGCTTCTGCCTGCTTTCTCTGCAATGATGAACTAGGGGGGAATTTTGGAAACAGCAAGATTACAGCACTAGGATAGGAATCCAGGATTTTGAATTTCCCATCTGGATCTGCAAAGAGTTTTGGTGCAGCCTTGGGCAAGTCATGTAATCAGCGTGTGCAGGTTAATCAGTGTAGTGCCGTGGTCTGTTAAACAGGGACAATATTGTATCCTTTCTCTCATTGATAATCTATCACGCATGTTTGGACTGCAAGGCTGTAAAAGTGGAGACTTATCAGCTCGGTGCATAATCTTCATTGCAAAAGCATTTAATTCTCTGTGGAGGTCTGCAGGAATACTATAATAAAAATAATAAATAATGACTACAAACTACCAGGAGACAAAGAGCCCTGTTGCTGCATGGCCCTTGAGACCTGAGTTTTAAATTAAAGCTTCCCGGAACACCCCAAACGGTGAGTTAAGCTACTTTCCCCATTAACCTTCCCCGCCGAGTATTTGTCAGGTTAATTTCCTGGCCTGTGGCCAAATCTGTCATTTCAGCAGAAAAATACTTCACTATGTACAGTTTCAGCTTGTTTATTTTATGTCAGTGACTTAATTAATTACAGTGCTAAACTGTTTTTTGTACAACAAACATACTATTATACGGTTGGATTCAATTTTCACTGCACAACATCCGTATTACTAGATTTCACCAGGAGCCATTTTTGCATCTGAATGATCCAGAGCAATATGTGGCGCTGCATGAAGGATAAGGAGGTTGCTCTAATGGTCTGGGCATTCATGTATGGCTTGGAAACCTCCTTTACCTTGTGCCAAAAGCTTTTTTCTCCCTCTGATTATACCAAGAAGTATGCCCTGGGATATGATATGAAGCCCCACAGGCAGTAAAGCCATAAACCCACTTCAGTGCACTGAGCTGTCTGGTTTTTCTTACCAAGAAAAGTTGTGAGGAATCTGAAGTACTTTGGGCAAGGCCGTACTACAACTTCTCCCACCTCCGCTTCAGGCCAGCATGTGATGTTGTCCCATTGCCTCCTGCAACCTGGGGGAAAAGAGAAAAGCAGATTGTAGAACAAAGCACAAGTGGGATCTGCTGGATGGAGCAGAAGAATTGGGGCAGAGCAGCTGTGCAAAAGTGCGTGGAGCTTATCACCTTGATGCAGTCTCCTTTTGGAAGGAAGGCACGAAATATTTCCTTTAAACTCGCAACGTTAATCTACCCCAATCCATGAAATTCAGCAGTGGTGCTGTCTGTAATATTCAAAAAATATTACAGAAAGAACAGTAGATCAGTGCAAGAACTAGGCAAATCAGAGTTAATAGAAAACGGTGCCTTTTTTTTAAGATGAAAAAGGCAGAAATGCCTAGTTAAGTATCTCTCTTCCTTGCCCTTAGCTCTCTGTGTTGAATTAAAGCACCTGGTCTGAACATGTGAGACATGCTTCCCTTCCCTCAAACTTGGGTCACTACCTTTTTCTTCCCCTTGAAATGAGATGATAGCACAGGGGATGTGCTCAGCAGTGAGGGGATGTTGATGACAATCAAGGGATCAGGAGCCAAATCCCTTCCCCAGAAGCATTTTTTCTCCTTAAAAAGGGAAGAAGGCACAAAACACTCCTGTGGGCTGAAGAGGGACAGTGTTGTTGTTAGGGAATGCTCTCTATGGAAGGATGGCACAAGGTGGTACTCTCCTAGCTGTCCAACCTAGGAATGAACGCATAACCAGTGCTGCTAACTTCAGGGAGAAAACTTCAGGGTTTGTTATAAGTAAGCATTTCTGAAGATTTTCTGCATAGAATAAAAGCTTTCTGGGAGACAAAAATTGCATGTCCTTCCTACAGAATTATAATATCTTGTTCTGATTTTGCCCTTTAATTTCTGCTTTCACAACAGGCGTTTATGATGTCACACACACGCTGCACTGTTGAAAGAACTGAAGCCAAAAGGACCTGGTAGAGCTGAATTAAAACAAACAAACAAACAAAGAAGTCTTGTTTTTGCCTCAACATATTACATATTTTATTACATATTTGCTAGAATTTTGAAAACTTTTTTTCCCCCTTCGGGCACATGCACTTCAATTGCTGCCTGGGATAGACAGACAGGTTGTCAACAGATCTCACTTTTTTAATAGCACCTCTGCTCTCAGATGTTTGTCATGCCCTATTAGATTGCAACACTTCCCCAAATGTGACTAGCATGTTACTGTTGAGGTCAACAGCACAACAAGAGAAACTAGACTATGAAAACCATTGTCAAGCTGCAGTTCTTGATAATTATATCCCAATCTGAAATTCCTCCTTTAAATCATTTCTCACTACTTCAGCTAAGAAAAAGGCCGGTGTCATCACCAGTATGTTCAGACTGAGAGAGTGTGCTGTCTCAGATCAATAAAGAGAGCACACAAAAACGCTTTGAAGCTGGAAAAGATCCCTCAGCTCTCTTTCAAAGTTATTTTACATGTTTTTCTTTTCTTCTTTCATGAGCAAACAGAACTTTTCAAACAAAGTCCTGAAGTGAGTTTATCGGAGCCTGAGAAACAGAATACCTGGCAGTATCTTCCTCGTGCATGCTTTTCTGTAGAATTCATTAAAATTCAGGTTCAGGTTTCTAATATCAGGTTCAAAGCTCAGTTTCCACAGTGTCATACTTATCTGCCACCAAACAGCCAGCAGCTCCAAAAGTATTAAGATATTAGCTATTCTGCCCATGGAAAATAGATGATTTTGTGACAAGGTCTTTCATGTTCTACAATCTTTTCCTCCATCAACCTCAATAAATTATAATGCACCCATTACCTCAGGACAGGTAATAATGCAAAATAAAATACAAGGTGATAGTATCAGATGGGTTTTTAAATGTCCTGAATTCTGCATTTTGAGAATTTTTGTGATCTTTATCTGTTTCTGTGTAAGCGTTTTTCATCACCACCTGTGATGCATGAAAAAAAAAAGCTTTTAGGTGCTTACTTTTGTAACAAAAGCTCTCTTTAATTAAAATAAAGACACACAACACTGGCCTTACAAGACACACAAAGTGGATGTTTAAACATTGTTGCCTCTGTAAAGACCTCTCACACATACCTACTGGCTCTTCAACACTATTCTTCCTTATTGTCCCACCATATGTGCTGACAATATTTGTGCAGCTTCCTGGAAGGATCCAGGTTTTAAAGGTGGGATTTGTTTCTCTAAATTTATACATCTAAAAGTCAGATCTAAAGAAGCCAATAGAAACCAAAGCTCTGCCTGGCAGTTAATGTAGCTCACTGTACGATGGATATCTAAAGTTAAGAAAATGAATCATTCTTTGGAGATATCATCTTCTCTCCAATGACTGGAAGACAGCCTGCATAAGCAACTTGAGTTTAATGAACTGGAACAATACAAAGACTGATACCAACAAAGTGCTTTGCATTTGCAGTTCAACACTTGCTGCTCGCCCTGTAGTCATCCCATGACAACATCTGGCAAAAGTCTGTGCCTGTCCATCCAGAACATAATCATTATCAAATATCATTCCAGAAAATGTTTTTCTTTCTCTCAGATTGATAGACCTTACCCTGGCAAACTGCTGGGATCAGGGGGTTGGCAGGCAGTATTCTGTCATGTCAGCATGACAGACCAATACTTAAGAAAACTATTTGAGGGCAGAAACAGCAGCAGTGTGCCTCGGAAAAAGGAAATCCCTCTCTTCCCTGTGGCATCACTTCGCCTTCATGAATGTAGTAAGGATGAAAATTTGTTTTGTCTGATCAAATCATGTTTAGTGATTGCTAAGTGCTTCTCCATTAATTCATTCTGAACGTTGCCCTTTGTTGCCTCCCTTACACTCAGTATCTGTAGGAAGGATGCAGAGGTATTTATCAGTTCTCACCCAAGGCAGCAGGTACAAATGAGCCATGAATACATGTGCCCTTCAACTCCACTTTGACAAAAGGAACTGCTCTGCTCATTTGCTTGTTATTGAAAGCCGAGGAATACATACTGCCAAGGGCTTTGCTTTGGAGAGGATTACAAGTGGAGAAGCAGTATGAAAATAAGCATGTGACTTTTTCAAGACAGTACCGTTTACCACATCCCTCGGTAATCAGGTACAGTCTTTAAACTTTTCTTATCATAAATACATATATATATGTACATATATATGAGTCTTTTCAATTAACTGCGACTTCCATATCTCAGCACTGTCCTGCTGTTGTCTGGTAGATCATGAAGTGCTTTCTGGAGCCAAATATCTTCTTCTGGAGGGCTGCAGGGGGAAATCTTTACTCTTAACAAAGCTTCCTCTTAACCTTCAGATAAGCAGATCAAACTGCTCATCATTGCCCAGCAAGCCACACAATTAGGGTAAATACCAGCAGCCACCTCTCACCGTCTTAAAGCAGGCTCCTGAAGGGCTGGAGGCTGTTTGCCACACACAGGAGCTGTGATCTTTATGTCCAGCAGCTGCCTCTTTGCAAGCCAAATTCCCCAAGTGCAAGCCAAAGGCTCCGTTAGCCTCAGCTGGGCTTTGCAGAGCCTTCCTCTAAGGAATTCTGCCTCAGAAGTGGCTGAAAAACACTGACACAGTCCTGGCTGCAGTGGGTTAGAAAACTCCACTACAGCTGCAGAAAGTGGAAACCTTTTCCACTGTATCTGCTAAAAGCAAATCAAAGCTCAGGCCCTCATTTCCTCTCTCTTTATAAGGTTAATAAACAGAAACAGGTCAATTGTCATGAGACTCGGGTATGCAGCGGTTTTTGAACTGGAAGACCAGAGTGCAAAACCCATTTATTTGTGTCATATCTACACTTACAGCAAATACATGGTGAAAGCTTATCTAGGAAGCAGCAGAGAGTAACTTTCCTTCATGAATAAACATGACTTCCAGAGCTCTGGCAGGGCTCTAAGATGTGACTAGGTTTCGCTGAGGGAAGAAATGAATGGCAGTAGGATTGTGCCAGGCACTTTCTTAACACAGGTGAACTCCCAATTCAGAAAAAAATAAAAGCTTTCAGCACATTTATTATTTGCACTAAATTTTCCCTGATGAATGGGGTCACTCCTGATCTCTTCTGAAAGTCATTCACACACAAGACTTTTGCTCTTTGGACCCATGTAAAGATACCCATTTGATGCCTGAGGTATCTTGGGATCTCTGCACGCCTCTTACTACCCACAGGTAGGTAACAGCAAGGCAAAGGGCTTCATTAAGCCAAGCTGAGATATCCCTCAGGGTACTGGCTGGTGCGCTTGCAATGGAAACTCATTTTCAACTCCAATCTGATGTCAGCAGGCAGTTTCCAGCCTCTCTGGAGTTAGGACTGAAAATAGCTATTGGGTGACATTTGTCCTCTCACTGACAAGCTCATGCAGAAATGCAGCCTAGGTGCTCACCTGTGGTTTGCCCAGTTTGGTCTCATTACAACCAATTAGCAACCTTCTTATCCCAGCTGAGCCCTAAGCTTTTGCCTGACTGAGGAATACAGATCCCAGAAGATGGTCCCTGCAACAGTCTACTAACTTGGTTCCAGACAGGCAGCTGAATTCAATCCCAGTAGAGGTTAGGAAAACCCATCGTGAGCTCTGGGTTACTACTACTGCCCCAGACTCCAATGAGCAGAGAGCTCCTGAATCAGAATAATCTTCCATCTAAATCTTAAAAGTTATATGTAATAATAAAAAATACCTTAGATAGGTTCTTTTTCTTCCATAAGCTTTCTAATTAAATTCATTTTTCTTCTGAATCTCTGGAAATTTTTAAAATTCACTACCTCTTGGGCCAAGGAGTTGCAGAGTTGAGTTCCACAGTTTAAATGTCCACTGAAAAAACCTACATGCTTTCTGAATTTGCTTTGAACCTGCTCATTGCTGGTTTCATTAGGAATTGCCTGGTTCTTTTACAAAGACAGAAATATTCATAGCCTAACTACAGTATCCCCTTCCCTGGAGAGAAAGAAACCATAAAATCCTCTTTCATGTCCTTCCTCAGGCATCTCTTTTTCAAGCTGAAGTGTCCTAACCTATTTAGTTGCTTCTAGCATGGAAGCAATTCCCTCTC